TGGTGGTAATGAGCTGCTCGGTGGGAGAAAGACAAGGCTTTCTCCTCCCGTTGACAGTCACACTGTCGGAAACGCACAGGGGCAGTTCTACCCTGTCCTATGAGGTTGCTATGAGTTGGCATGGCCCCGTGGCAGGGAGTGTGGTTTTATCTTTTGGTTTTGATTGGATCGTGCCATCACCCTGGTTATGGAATTCCATAACCAATTCCATTCCATAGAATTGTCTCATTACATTCGATTTTTCTTAAAAGACTAATAGAAAAAATATCAGTTCTTTGAGGTAGCAAATCTTTATACAATGCTTTTGGCACCCATTGTGCCAAGCATTTGCTGAGGCCCAAGATATGTGTTTAACATAAACGAACTCTCTGAGATCCCAAATTCCACAGTGATCAATAGTAAATCTGTAATATTCCTCCACCAGTTTCTGAGCTCCAGACAAAATGTTCCTATCTGTGGAGGATGCCCTTCTTCCCTCCCGTGGCTTATCTTGAGGGGCTTCCCGACCTTCCTGAAACTGCTTGACCTGCCAAAACTGCTGTTTTATGTGGGGCACATTCCCATACACTTGTTGCAAAACTTCAGTGATTTGGAATGATGTCTACATGAGCTTTCTTAGCAATGTGCTGTTAACGCTGATCTCAAAATCATTTTCCCCCAGGACACAAAAAAGTACACTTTTTTAAGGGACCTTTAACGAGACTGAGACTATTAATGAGACCTACTCTATACCCATCCACCGATTGCTGAGAAATATTTAAACACACTTTGTTTAGAATAAACTCATGCACGTATAAGCAAGAACTCTGTTAAGAATACATTTCTTAGCTACATTTGTATATATAGCAAGTTAGTAAAAAATAAAGGTGGCGTTTAAAATCGTGAGGTATATAATATATTATTCATTAAATTGAATTGGGTCCATCACTGTGTGGGGAATAAAATAAAGCTGTATTTGATGCTATAGATAAAAATCAATCCTAGAAGGATCAAAGCTCTTAATGTTAAAAAAAGAGAAGCATATCATAGAGTATAAAATAAAACGTATTTGACTCTTTAAAAAGCATTCAATTAGGAAGGTCTTCTAAACCTGACCTTTGCTTACACTAAAAATTGGAACTTCTGAATCAAACCCCCTACAAAATTAAAGGAAAATTTCAAACCAGGGAAAATATTTATCAAACACAGGACATCATGGGTTACTGAGTTATATAATAATGTTCTACCATCAGAAGGAGATTTTCTGATAAAAAATGAGAAAGTGGGCTACAAATACACAAATGGCAAGTGACTGAAAAAGAAATGTGAAAAGGACGAACTATTGCTCAGCAGGACTCAAAACTGGAGCCCTGATGGCACAGTGGGTTAGGCGCTGGGCTGCTCATGGAAAGGTCAGCATTTCAAAACTACTGGCTGTTTTAGCAATGGCAGCAAATCGACAACAACTAACAACAACTTTGTATTTTCAGCAGGATTCTTGGTTCCCTAAAACAGACTACATTTCCCAACCTCCCTTGCAGATAGGGGTGAGCCTGCCACGTCATTCTGGCCAATAGCATTAACATAGAAGCATCCTTAAAAGGAAGTGGCATATCCTCCTTCCTGCCATTCTCCTTCCTATACACTGGGATGTAGTGCACAATGTGTTCATTCTGTGGAATAATTCCTGTGAGTGTAGCTCATTAAATAGCACAGCCTTTTCATTTCAAAACTAATAAGCTAAATGTATAGCATTAAACACTTTCTGTTTGAAGACCCAAGTAAGAGCTTTGAAGATAGAGGATTATATATTTTTGACCAGTGTAGAAATACAGGGTCAGAGTCAAACACCCCAAACCAGGAGAGATGGCATTACCTAGAACCGAGGAGCAGGAAGCCTGTGGGTGACAGCCTCCGTTGTTGACCGAGCAGATGTCTATGAGGGTGCACACTTTGCCGTTGCCCTGGTACCCTGTTCAGAGCAAGAGCAGAGGCAATGAGGAGCAAGGTCAACCACATCTGCGAAGAACCCACCTGAGAACCAAAATTACACAGACAACCCGGAGATCACCTTCATCAAAACAAGCCACGTAAACATAAACCTCATGAATATACAGAATCTCCTAAGGAATCCCAACAATAAGCATGCGACACGTGACTGCAGAGATAATGCTCTGGGTTGCTTCTCATAATAAAAAGATAGATGGGTAGACGAAAAGAAGTGCTGACACTCAGGAACTTAATATTTTTTAAGGACAGTGACCGATACTCTTCGAGCTCAATTGCTGTGGCAGTCCAAAGTACTGTTGGTGCAGGTTACTGAGGCACACCGGCCTTGGGTTTATGCCTTAGAACTCTCTGAACTTCTTGGACAGCAACTCAAGCTGCACTCAAGGACAGCATTAGGGAAGGGCAGGGAAGCAAGCTTGTGGTGTATGCCCACAGGCATACTTTTTATTTTTTATTTTTTTAAAAACATTGTATTAGGGGCTCATACAACAGTTATCGCAATCCATACACACAGCAATTGTGTAAAGCGCATTTGTACATCATTCTCAAAACATTTTCTCTCCACTTAAACCCCCGACATTAGGGCCTCATTTTTCCCCTCCCTCCCTGCCCCCCCTCCCACATGAGCCCTTGATAGTTTATAAATTGGTATTTTGTCATATCTTGCCCTGTCCGACGTCTCCCTTCACCCACTTTTTGGTTGTCTGTCCCCCAGGGAGGAGGTCACATATAGTTCCCTGTAATCGGTTCCCTCTTTCCCACCCACTCTCCCTCTACCCTCCCCGTCTCGCAACCCACACCACTGGTCCTGCAGGGCTCATCCGCCCTGGATTCCCTGGATTTTCAGTTCCTATCTGTGCCAGTGTACATCCTCTGGTCTAGCTAGACTTGCAAGGTCGAATTCGGATCATGATAGTGGGGAGGGTGGGGAAGCATTTAGGAACTAGAGGAAAGTTGTATTTTTCATTGTTGTCACATCGCACCCTGACTGGCTCATTTCCTCCCCAAACCCCTCTGCAAGGGGATCTCCAGTGGCCTACTAATGGGCGTTGGATCTCCACTCCGCACTCCCCCCATCATTCACTATGGTAAGATTTTTTGTTCTGATGATGCCTTATACCTGATCCCTTCGACACCTCGTGGTTGCATAGGCTGGTGTGCTTCTTCCATGTGGGCTTTGTTGCTTCTGAGCTTGATGGCCGCCATGACTCAAGTGGTAATTATTTGGGAATAATGAAGCAATGGTAACAGAAGTGTTTACCAATTTTGCATTTCCTCAGTAGGATATTTCAAAACTTCCCCCAAAGTCATTACTGTATCCCATTAATATTGAACGTTTTGAAACATTTCATACTTAAGATTCAATAATAAAAAACCCCAAAACACTGCGATTGAGTCCATTGCAACTCATAGCAGCCCTATAAGACAGGGTAGAGCTGCTCCTGTGCATTTACTAGGCTGTAACACAGAATTTACATACCATACAATTCAATAGTTCAGTCATTCAGTCGTATCAAGGAGAATTGTACAATCATTACCACATCAATTTTAGAACATCCCCACCCCTCCTGGTTAAATCACCTTTAAAATGAGTTATGTAATCACAATCTGTTCTAGTGCTCCCACCCACTTTGATTATTTACTCCCGAAATCCTCTTTCCATCCTATCTCACACACACACACACACACCCCTGTATTCCTGGTGTCCCCTTGTATCCGTTATTATCATTATGCATTCACTCTTTTGTGCTTCACAGCTGGGAGACCCAACAGAAAACAATGAAACACAAAATTGCATTAAGGTGGTAAGGATAAAACTATAACAGTATAAAGACAAAATAACCAATACTACATAAGAAAGAAAAGACCCCCATCAACATTCAAAAAGCCAGGGACGAAATTTCCATCATGGAACCAGTAAGAGATACTTTCACCCAGAACCAATTTAGGTCAAGTCAATAGGGTGGGTCAACTGGCCAAGCATCAAGTTCGATTCAGCTAATCAAGATTACAATGGCCTCTGATAGGCAGGCTGTTCGAGCCTCTTGCCTGTGGCTAGAGCAGATGTCAGTGGCTCAGTCTGACAGATAGTCTGCAGATAGATTTGGGGGTCCGGCCACCCATCACCCTCCACAAACTGGGCGTTCACAATTTTTGCTCTGATGTTTTCCTCACCATATTCAAATTTTGTAATTGTCATCTTTGGACCACACAAGCTGGTGTGCTTCCTCCACGTGGACTTAGTTGACTCCTCGCTTAGATGGCTGCTTGTCTGAATTCAAGCCTTTAAGACCCCAGACACCATTCCAATTGATAGCCAGGCACCATCTGCTTTCTTCACCACACTTTGCTGTAGCACCCTTTGCTTCAGTGATCATTTCATGAAGGTAAATATTGAGCAGGGCTGTGATGTAAGAACTGATTGTTTTTAAGTTGGAGTTAAGATTTAGTGTGAGCCCCAAACCCCTTCTTGGCTCTATGCTTTCTTTCTTTTTTTAATATGCTGTAACTTAGAAGTTAATATACATGTCATATCATTGCATAGTTCAATTATGGCAAACAATTGTACAAATGCTTCCATAATCAGTCTTCAAACATACTTTTCCTTCCTGGACTTCTTGACATCACCTCCTTCTTATCTCTCCCACCCCTATATATCACACTTTCCCCCAAACCCTTGTTATAGTTTCTTTCCTGACAGGCTCAATGTCCCTGGGTTTCATTTACTGAAAAACAAAAACAAATAACAGAGCTTCAAGAGGGTGAGCCCCAATGGCGATGCACCTCTGAGATACACCCTAATATAAAGAAGCATAGCAGAATATAACAGAATGGTCATCAGGATTGGTGGAATAATACAGCACACAGGGCACTGATGTAGCAAGACCTCATTTGTCTGCCATAGGACTAGAAAGCCTCTATTTTCTCCCAAGGAATGGCCTTGTAGTTAGCAGCCCAATGTCTAACCCACTCCACCACCAGGACTCACGAATACATCTTAAATCAATAGATTAAGAAAAACTTCCTGTGTGGTTCAATGTTCTCTTCTTGAACAAGGATCATCTTTGAAATAGACAAGACCCTGTTTCTCAAATGCATGTTTGTCCTGAGAAGCATCAGGAGAGGTGGTTCATTACCTGGAGGACATGGTTGACAGTGGTAAGATCCGATGGTATTTACACACTCAACAAGCGGAACCTCAGAACAGCCACCGTTATTGATTTCACACTCATTGATATCTTGGCAGTGATATCCATTTCCTTGCCAACCTGGAAAAATAAGATCTGAAAGTTAGCTTTATGGATAAGTGAAAACAAACGCGGATACACAAATAGTCAAAAATATTTTTAAAGGCACCTCAACTTGAGACTACAGATTGAAAAGTAACAAGCAATACTCAACAGATTAGCATTAAAAGAAAAACTTAGAATCCAGTTCTTGGTGGGAAAATGAGGTACTCTCCTAACTTCTATAGACATTCCATTTTAATAGCCTACATGGAAAGAGATCTAGAAGTTGGCATTAAAAAAATTAAATATATACTCTGACAAGCCAACCTACTCTTTGAAACTTATTCGACGTTGATGAAACTATAAGTATACAAAAATATAGGTACACAGCTACCTTTTGCAACACTGTTTAATAATGGTGGGGGCATTCTCAATGGTCAAAAGTATAAAGAATATACTTTATACTTCTTTGACATCACTGAATCTTAAAATCATTTTTCATAACACGCACCCACACATGCTCAGAGACTGATACATACTGAGAGGACTTGCCTATGTATTCTAGCTGAAAATACCAAATTAAAAAAAATCTTTCAAAATATGATCCCACTTAAAAAAAATTGTACATGTGTCTACATGTTTGTATGAGCCAAGGACAGGGTCGCAGAGAGAGGCCAGACTGCTACCAGCATTCTCATTTGATGTGACTAATGGTGATGGAAGACAAGTATCCTTTGACCTTTGACATTCCTACTTCATGAACTCCTTAGACTGAGTTTATATCACTCATAATGCAAATGATTGAAACGATGGTAAGAACGCTGAAAACCTGTGAAAGCTGACAAAACATTCAGAGCCTTTGATCCTCGTAGTGTTCCCATCGAGGCATGGAGGTAAGAAAATGGTCGTGCGTGTAAGTGAAGCAGTGAGCGCACCGAGAGGGGGAAAAACTAGGAGGAAGGTGCCCACATGGGAATGGTGGTCCTCGAGTGATGAGTTCTTTTCTGTTTTGTTTTTAATAGTCTTGTGGTTTCTTTGTGTTTAAAATCTGCATCTATTACTTTGATATGTAGCAGAAATACAGCAATTCACAGAAGCCTTTGATATTTCTTTTTCCTCCCCTAACCAAAAAAAAAAAAGACTTTCAGAACGCAGTGCCCACGGGGAGTGCTGGTAGTTTCAACATGCTGACGCTGTGACTGGCAGCCTGACTGCAGCCCCGTGCCACTCGGGCTAGGAGGGGGAAGGGTGATCTAAACTTTCTCTTTCTAGTTTTACCATAGCTAAACTTACAGGCACGCCGAAAACCACTAGACCAATGGACTCCCCCCTGGCGCAATGAGGTGTGGGCTTGGCAAGACTGAGTGATGGAGTCCTCAGTAGTTTTGCTTGGACTCAGAGGCAGGCAGATTTGAGTTTGAATCCTGGCTACTTATAAGCTATGTGTCCTTGGGCAAGTTATACAACCCCGTTAAGCCTCCAGTTATTTTATTTAAAATAGGAACCATAATAAATCCTACCATTACCATTTCAAGAATTACAATAAAATCATTTAGTACAACACCTTAATGATATTTTCCTTAGAGAGATGTAGTTGATTACCGAATACGGCCCTTCTAGCCATATTTCCATTTTCCATAATCCATTTGATCAGATGTTGTAGATTCTAGCCTGTGTGCCACAAGAGCCCCTTAGGAAACACAGGCAGGCCTTGTGCAACCTGGGAAGGTATGGTTTGTCTTCCCACTGTGGTGCAGTTGGGTAAGCTAACCAAAAGGTTGGAGGTTCAAGCCCATCAGCTTCTCTGTCGGAGAAAGATGAGGCTATCTGCTCTGTAGGGATTCGCAAAGCCTCAGACACCCAATCGAGGAGTGCTCTGAGTCCGATCGACTCCCTGGCAACGGGTTTGGCACCCATCATGGTGCTTTGCCGACCGTATGTGTTCTACAAATGTGCGCGGAAGGGAACGTTTGAACTCAAGCCCAGGACAGCTGTGAGTCCGGAGTCCATCGTTACACAAGCGCCTGGCTTTCCCTGGAAGGTGGGTCTCTGTAGGGCTGGCAGGGAGCTGTATGCCAATATTTACAGGCTGGTCAGACTCCAGGCTTATGTAAATGAAAGCAGACATGAAATTGGGTTTGAACACCTTCTAAGAATGGGCTCATCAACCATTGGTAGTAGAGAGAAACTGGTTCTGGCGCCTTGCCCTGCCTGGCACACGAAGGCCGAGGGCTTAGCCCAGAGCACTTGACAGCAGTGGAGCTGGCTGGGTATGAATAAACCCACGTACCTGACGGACAGGCCCCGCAATAGAAAGAGCCTGGCGTGTTGAAGCACTGCACAAGTGGGGAACAAGGCGCAGGCTGCAGGCTGCACTCATCTACGTCCTGCGTGCAATCGGGGCTGCCTGGTGGAGACATCCATCCAGCATCGCAGCGGCAGCTGTACTTGGGCTGGCAGGGGACATTAACAAGGTGGACATTAACAACCAGGAAAACTAGCCAAAATGCAAAAAAAACGGAAAGCCCTTGGAAAAATCACCCGAAGACCCAAACTGTTTATCTTCTAGCATTCATTTTCCATAAGCCCAATTGAGTAGCTTCTCTATGATTTAAGCTTTTACACCAGACCACGTAAAAAGGGCAGCATCTTTATTTCAGACGAAGAGAACCCTATAATTTGCCCCGAGGATGCCAGGGGG